TTAATGAGTCTATCTGATGAAATCGGTTTTTGATACTAATTTGTAATAACTTTATTGTTGTCTCTAAGAAGCTTTAAGTAAAGAAAATTATTGGAATTTTCTTTTTCTACAGTAAATTGCAGTTTTTGATTATTAAAGTTAAAAATATCAATAACCAAATTAACATGTTCTTTTTTAACAGCTAAATTTGTGTAATCCACATACCTAAAATAGAACAGGGGGACAAAATTATGCTTTTCTTTTAATTCTTTTAAACATTCAGTTTCCAAATCATCAATAACAATATCTGAGACGACAGCTGAGATTAGAGAACCCATCGGTGTACTGTAAACTTGTCTGTAGTATTTTCTATCGAACGAAAAATAGGCGTTGTTTATAATTTATGTAAATTACAAAGTAAAAACACTACAGATTTTTTCATCAGTTTATTATAACTTTTATTATATTTTTACTTATATTATACACTACCTGTCAAAATTAAGAGAGCACTCATTTTCAGGTGAATAAAAAACATTTTAAAACATAAAATGTATGGAAACTAAAATTTTTTTCTTTCTGTTTTTTGAATGATGTTAAAATTTTGAAAAGCATAAAGTCCTTCAATGTTTTACAAGAACATTAATTACTTCTAGAACAATTAACGCTTTTTAATGATCTTATGCTTATTTTAAAAGTGATTTTCTAAAGAATGAAAATCACTTATAGGCATTAACGTGTAATTTTTTTTCTTAGAAGATGCATGTCGTCAAAGTTAGATAAAAAAATTCCAGAACTTTGAAATAATTTTTTTGTTCTAAAAACTATTCTAGAATATATATAAAACATGATGTGATGTAGATTTTTTAAGGTAGCTTAATAAAACATATGTTTGTATTTAAAAAATTATTTTTCTGTTAATAAGATTGTTTAAAACTTTTTAATTTTTAAATCCAAGTTTGAAGACCTGCATTTTCTAAGAAAAAAAATTACACGCTAATGCCTATAAGTATTTCTCATTCTGTAGAAAATCACCTTTAAAATAAGCCTTACAAAGATCATTAAAAAGCATTCATTATTTTAGAAGTTATTAAAATTTTTGTAAAACATTGGAAATGATGATTTTTTAAAAATATCTAAATAAAATATTGGCCAAATGACTTCTGAAAGATCTTGTCCTATTCAAAATTTTATCATCTTTTACAACATAAAACAAATTTTAGTTTCCATACATTATGTGTTTTTAAATGTTTTTCATTTACCTAAAAATGGATAGTCTATAAATTTTGACCGGTAGTGTATATTACATTTTTATTACAGTTTTTCTTATATTTAATATTGAAATAATATTAATATATATATATTACAAACCTTATTGTGTTCATAATATGTAAATTACAAAGTAAAAATTCTACAGATTTTTTCCATCAGTTTATTATAAATTTTATTATATTCTTACTAATATTATATTATAACATCAAAGATGTTTTTGTTGGGATTAAATTATTCTGTGATAAATGATTTATTACTATTATATTTATTAGTAAAATTAATATAATTTCGAAAATACTTTACATGTTTTAATATTCTACGGATAAAGCTGAAATAAGCATCCAGTTTATTTTAAAAATATTAATGTTTTTGTTTTAAAAACAAATATTTACCATTAAAATTTAATTCTAAAAGTTACAGATGCTAAAACTGTAATCCAATTATTATAGTACCTGTTTATTAACTTTCAGAGTTTAATAATTTTATACCTAAATATTCTTTTTAAAAAAACAACATAAATATTTTTAAAATAAAATCTGGGTTCTTGTTTAAGATTCATTAAAAAAGAATTTCAGAAATTATATTAATTTTAATATTTTAATTAAACAAGGCAAACTCAAGAATTTTTTAACTGATGCTTATTTATTAATTGCAATTACTTACAAAAAGAAAAAATTATTTTTATCACTAAAAAGTAGTATTTTACATAATTTTCAAAAACTTATTACCTATATATATATATCCTCCTTATCCTTATTTTAATCACAAAACTTTTTTCACTTCTTATCACTTATGATATTTTATATTTATATATATTTTTTATTGTTTTGTCATTTTTCACTTTTTATCATCCCATATATTAAGAATATTATTAAGAATGGTGAAGAATATTAAAAAAACACGTGTTCTTCACTTTGTAATCTGTAATATTCTGTAATACTCTGTAATATTCATCATGTATCATGTATAATACTCGCACTCGACATATTTGTCATTTTTTTACTACAGTCCAATTTTTTTTAAAAGGACTGTCTTGCTCCCCACTTCACTTTGCTCTTCACTGACTTACTAATTTGACGTACATTATAGATTCGATAATTTTTTTTGTTAATGTACCACTATTGGAAGTAAAACTATCCACCTTAAAGAAGCTTCCCCCCTGAAGGTCAAGGATAGATTCCTCTGGAACTCAAGGTTGTGCGAGATCCGGTATTAGAAATATATACCCTCATCTCTTATATGATGATAAGAGAGATTATATGTTTGATAATACATACATTGATAAATCGCAAATGGATTGCTTGGCTAAACCGTGGTTCAATACTGTTAAATAATGTAAATTCTAATAAAACTTTTTTCCATCAATTTCACCCATATGTTATCTATTAAAATCGAGCATTAAACAAGAGAGCAATGTACGAGGAATTAGAAAAACATGGGTTATCTACTTTCCCCTCAGTATCCTATGAAGTTGCCAGCTACAAAAAAATGAGGAAACGTTATCAATATACACTCATCAGTGACTTGACCGGCTGTAAAATGTTTGCAACTTCTAAAAGAAGATTTTCCGATCGTGTACGCGTGTTTGATTCATGAAATACTGGATTCAAATAGAATTAAATATCAACTGCATGTTAAAAAAATGTTCACTTAAACATTTATTTATCTTAACTCTCCGTCTGACAGCCGGGTCAAGTCAGACTCAAACGGTTTTCATATTTATTTAAACATATTTATAGATTAGTTAGAAACTTGTGCTTTCAGGTAGATTCATAAACTTTACATACCTAACGATCTAAAGAAACAGTCGAAACAGGGTCGAAAATGTCAAAACCTGGAATGTTATGTGAATCAGAGAAATACATGTTTCGATTAACATTGGAACATGTATCGGACGGAAGTTTAATTAACATAAAGCGTATAATACCATCTAAAAGTAACCAACAAAAATTTCTGTCAAAGGTCGGTATTCACAACAGGCGCAGTATTGCACTAATACTGGGGTACCAGTAGTTGACTCGACCGTTATCTCTAATAAAATATTTGTACCAAGCCATGACTGGCATGCAAGTTTTGAAAATATTAAACGTTTAGGGCTTTTGGAATTACATCAAAATTAAAAAATTTGAATATTGAAAATCGATCTTTTGTCACAGATTTTAATATGTTTTAACCCCTTGACTGCCAATGGCAAAGATCTTTGCCATTTCGGACTTTGCTCTGACTGCCGGAAAACTGACAATCTTTGCCATGATAAAAATTGATGTAAAAAAGTCAAAAATGGCTAAAAATTAACAATAAAATGATTTCTAAAAAGACAGCGCTATGCAGAATGCGACGCACGTTTCTGTTTTTAAATTCAATGAATTATAAAAATGTTATAAATTTTTAAAAACAACACTTTTAGCAAATTTTTCAAAATCTTTGCCATGGACAATACAATGCATTTTTATTTTAAAAATGTCTATAATCGCCTGAAATCTATTACTCGGGGGTTTTCGGGGTCGCTGATTACGAATATGATGTCAGTTTTTCAAAATTCAAAATGGCGGATCCAATATGTCGGACGACTTTTTTAAAATTGATCCAAATTACCTGAAATTTGTTAATCGGTGGTTGTCGGGGTCACTGATTACGAATATGATAATGGTTTTTCAAAATTCAAAATGGCGGATCCAATATGGCGGATGACCTTTTTAAAAATTGATCCAATTTACCTGAAATTTGTTACTCGGGGGTTGTCGGGGTCTCTGATTACGAATATGATAATGGTTTTTCAAAATTCAAAATGGCGGATCCAATATGGCGGATGACCTTTTTAAAAATTGATCCAATTTACCTGAAATTTGTTACTTGAGGGTTTTCGAGGTCGCTGATTACGAATTTGATGTCGGTTTTTCAAAATTCAAAATGGCGGATCCAATATGGCGGATGACTTTTTTAACAATTGGATCCAGTTTACCTGAAATTTGTTACTCGGGGGTTGTCGGGGTCTCTGATTACGAATATGATGATGATTTTTCAAAATCCAAAATGGCGGATCCAATATGGCAGACATTTTTTAAAAAAAATTTGGATTCGCGTGAAAATTATCATTCAGGGGTTTTCGGGGTCGCTGATGACGAATCCGATGTCAGTTTTTTAAAATTCAAAATTGCGGATCTAATATGGCATACCGTGGAGATCCACTTCACCCATGAACTTATTGGAAAGGTGAAATGCGTTAGGACATTTCAATGGAATTTCAATTTTTGCACTTTCTTTATAGCTGTTCTATGAAGCCGGCATTTGTAAAAAATTTTCTGCTTTTATGATAAAAACAAATTTTTTTTTAAAAAGCCGTCCGCCATATTGGATCCGCCATTTTGAATTTTAAAATACCGACATCAGATTCGTAATCAGCAACCCCGAAAACCCCCGAGTAGCAAGTTTCAGACAAATTGGACGATTTTTTATTTTTGGCATTATCGGCACATTTAGTGTTTTTCAGCCGGCAGTTAAGGGGTTAACGACAATTTTTTCCATGCATATTTACAATTTAAAACCATGCCAATTCAGCTGTGACTGGATTTTTGCTTTTGAATTGGTAAATTTTTCTAATAAATTAGCAGAAATGACCATTTATTAGTAAAATTTACTAACTTAAAAGCAAAAAGTTACCTATTTTGAAGGCTTCCTTTTTTACTTTTAACCCCAGCAATATACATTATATATTAGCAGAAAATTAAATTACACAATTTTTATTATTACAGGTTGCAATCCAGTAGTCAGATTTTCAAGATTAAAAATGGCAGATACGGACTTTGCCAAAAGCTGATATCCTGATGTGGAAGCACATCCCAAGGAAACTTTGTAAGTCCCTTATATTTTTTAAAGTAGGATATTCAATTACTGTATCTATGTGCACGCCAGTTAAGCCTATTCTATATTCAGTGACATAGTAACCAAGGTATACAATTTCTTTTCTTCCTTTTGGAAATTCTGAAATACAAAGCTAAATGTTTCTACCTGGTGCAATTTCAACAAACTCTTGAATTTATATTTTTTTGGTATCAATATAGGGTAGTCTGTACAATAATTGGCCCTTTTACAATGATTCTCCATCTCGTTAAAATATAAGTATAATAATAGATCTAGTCCCACGTTTGGGAGAAACTTTTCTTATAGGAAAAAATTTCAGCTTTCTTTCTAAATAAAAAATATTTTTTTAAATACCGATTTTACAAAAAAATAAAATTAATTAATAAATTAATTTTTATTTTTAATTTTCAAGGTTAATTTTTTTTTGAAAAACTAACATCGCCATTGTAAAGTACACAAAAAAACCTTTCTAAAACATATTTTGTGAAATTTTAATCTTTTTTTTAAGTGAACTATAAGTCATCAAAGTATGACGTGTAAATGCAGGAGCCCTGGACCACTTCACAAGAAATCTCGCCCCTGTCAGAAAAGACTAGAATCAATATTTTAAAAGTTTTTTTAGTTTTTTTCAACTTTTTTTCATTTTTCAAAGCATGGAAAGCGTCTGGGAAAAGTCTAGAGTCCATTTTTAAGTTTTTTCAAATTCTCTTCATTTTTAAAAGCTTCGAAATAGAGACTGCAAAAGTGTAGAAGAAAGCTAGAATCAATTTTTGTAAAATTTTTCAGTTTTTCTTCAAATCCTTTTCTTTTTAAAGTATGAGCAGAGTCTGCAAAAGTTTTGGAAAAGGCTAAAGTGGACTTTTGGAAAAATTTTTAGTTTTTTATAAAATATATTTTTAGTTTTTAAAGTATAAGAAGAGTCTGGAAAAGGGTATGGGTTATAGTTTTCCATAAATTTATTCTAGACTTTTCCCATACTTTGAAAAATGAAAAAAATTTGATGAAAAATGTAAAAATTTTTCGAAAAGTTAAATGACAGATTTTAAAAATACAAAATGGCGGATCCAATATGGCGGACGAAATAAAAAAATTATCGGATTACCATTTTTAAAGATTCACATTTCTTTTTTGAAAACTATTCTTACTTCTTTTCATTTTTAGTAAACTTTTCAACAACTTATAACTTTCTGATTTTCTCCATGTAAATGAGCGTCTCAAATTCTATCCAAATCGGTAGAAAAGTAAAAATGATTTTCTGACACCAAGCCCCCTTTTCCTAAAACAGAGGTGAGTTCACGTATCATTCACGTTCACTCAAAAATAAAAACATTTCGCATTCCCTACAAAATTTTCAGTTTCACTTTCACTCAATTATTTTTATTTTTACTTTTATTTAAAAATTCGCACTTTCCCTAAAAATTCTTAGGTACATTCACATCCACTCAAAAAATGTTTACTTTCATTCAAAAAATTCTTATTTTCCTAAAAAAATATAGACTTTACTCGAAAAGCTTAATTTTAATAAAAAAATTTCACTTTCCTTAAAAACTTCTTACTTTCATTTTCATTCAAGAAATTTTCACTTTCATTAAAAATAGATACCACCTTCATAAAAAAAATTTTGATTTTAACTCAAAAAAATTTTACTTTTATTTCAAAAATTCCCACTTTTTTTAAAAAGTATTAATTTCACTCAAAAAATTTATTTTCCTTATAAAATTTCTCAATTTGGATCAAAATATTTTCATTTTTGGGTCAAACCATTTTATTTCGCCTAATGTATTTTTGATCTTTATAAAAAATGTCAATGTTTCGGGAAAATATTCTTATATGTTTTGGGATTACGAAATGCACAATGATTTGTAAAAAATAATTTCATTTCATATAAAAAAAGATATTATAAATTGAGAGTACATGAAAAAAGGTTACATTGACAGGTATTACAAAATATTTAAAAAAGGAGTAATCTCTTTAAGAAATATGAAAAGAGCTATTAATATTTATTTTTAAAGACTGAATTTGTGATTTGAACTTAATAAAAGTATCAAATAATTTATAATAAACTGTAAAATATGTTATTTAAGTTTCTGTATGAAATGTCAAAAATCGATCATATTTAACAATTTTTTTTGACAAAGTAATTTAATTTTCGTAAATCAGAATTATTTAAATATAATAAGTATTTTAAATACACTTTATTATTATTTAAATACTTTTTTGATTATCAACTGAGAAATATAAAACAATTTACCTTAAAAATTAACCATTCTTCATTTTATCGGGATTTTGAATGTTTGTAACTTCGTTGGAGAAAAACCGATTCATGCCAAATTTTTGGAGCATGTTGATTGAAGCAATATGTTCCTGCTGGTAAAATTTCGCGATGGGTTTTGCACTAGTTTTCAAAAGAAATTGATTTAAAAAAAGTGTTTATTTTGAAGGTTAATGACAAGTATTATATAGCTGACTTGAAGTTGGTTTGTTTTAAACTGACTTTAAAAAAATCGTTTTATTTTGAATTTGACTTTTATTGCAAGTAGCAAACCAACTTCAAGTTAGTTATAATACTTGTCAATACCCTTCAAAATAAACACTTTTTTTAAATCAATTTCTTTTGAAAACTAGTGCAAAACCCATCGCGAAATTTTAGTAGCAGGAAGATATTGCTTTAATCAACATGCTCCAAAAATTTGGCATAAATCGGGTTTTCTCCAACGAAGTTACAAACATTCAAAATCCCGATAAAATGAAGAATGGTTAATTTTTAAGGTAAATTGTTTTATATTTCTCAGTTGATAATCAAAAAAGTATTTAAATAATAATAAAGTGTATTTAAAATACTTATTATATTTAAATAATTCTGATTTACGAAAATTAAATTACTTTGTCAAAAAAAATTGTTAAATATGATCGATTTTTGACATTTCATACAGAAACTTAAATAACATATTTTACAGTTTATTATAAATTATTTGATACTTTTATCAAGTTCAAATCACAAATTCAGTCTTTAAAAATAAATATTAATAGCTCTTTTCATATTTCTTAAAGAGATTACTCCTTTTTTAAATATTTTGTAATACCTGTCAATGTAACCTTTTTTCATGTACTCTCAATTTATAATATCTTTTTTTATATGAAATGAAATTATTTTTTACAAATCATTGTGCATTTCGTAATCCCAAAACATATAAGAATATTTTCCCGAAACATTGATATTTTTTATAAAGATCAAAAATACATTAGGCGAAATAAAATGGTTTGACCCTTTTACTAAAAAAATTTCACATTCCCTACTCAAATATTTTTATTTTTACTCAACAAATTTTTACTTTCATTCAAAAAATTCTCACTTTTACTAAAAAATTATTGACTTCAGTCAACAAAATTTTTACTTTACCCCTAAGAAAATTCTCAATTACGATCAAAAAATTTTCGCTGTGATTAAAAAAATTTCATATTCCCTAAAAAATTTTCACTTTCACTTCGACTCAAATAATATTATTTTTAATCAACAAATTTTTACTTCCATTCAAAAAATTCTTAGTTTTACTTTTATTAAAAAAATTTTCACATTCACATTCACTAAAAAAATGTTTACTTTCATTCAAAAAATTCTCACTTTCTGAAAAATAATATTGAATCCAGCCAAAAAATTTATTTTTCCAAAAAAAATTTTCAATTTCGATCCAAAAATTTCCACTTCTACTTTGACTCAAATATTTTTAATTTTACACAAAAAATTCTCACTCTCACTTAAATAATGTTCACTTTGACCATAAAAAAATTTTTTTTTTTAAATTAAAAGTGAAAATATTTTGAGTGAATGTGAATGCGAGAATTTTTTTAATGAAAGTGAAATTTGTTGTAGAAAATAATTTTTTGAAAAAAATAAGCCATATTACATTAAAATCAAATGATTTTAAAAAATGTTTAACCCTTTCGTGTCTCCGGGACATATATGTCCCACTTAGAAAAATTTATGTTATTCTTATAAAAGTCAAATAAGTAATTTGCGGTAAATTTCTTTCTATTCTGAAAGTCCGCTGCTACAGTCTAAAAAAATAAAAAATTACCTAGTACAATTATAATTATTATAAACAATATTAGACACAAAATATTTATAAGAAAATAGCGAAATCTAATTTCACAAAATTTTTTCTAATTCGCTTAAAACTTCTTACCTAGCAGTTTTTGGGGTAGCTGATTTCGAATCTAAAGTTAGATTTTCAAAATTCAAAATTGTAGACATTTTTTTCAAAATCTGCTCAAATTAGCTTGAAACTTGTTATTTGGGGGTTTTCGGAGGCACCATTTTGAATTTTTTAATTCTAACTTCAGATTCGTAATCAGCGACCTTAAAAAGCCCCTGAGTAACAAGTTTTTTGTAAATTTAAGCAATTTTAAAAAAATGTCCGACATATTGGATCCGCCATTTTGAATTTTGAAAATTTTGAAAATCTGACTTCAGATTCGTAATAAGCGACTCCAAAAACTCCTGAGTAAACAGTTTCAACAAAATCCAATCCCTGGGTTTCTCGGAGGCACGAAAGAAGCAATATGGAAAAAACTTTGTATAATATTAAAATTTTGCACAAAACCAGAACCCTTTTATTTTGATGGAAATGTAACTAAAAATTTTTCGCATACTTACATATAATTTTCCAAAGTAAGTATAGAAAAATTAAAAAAAAGGCAGATAGTTATTCCTACTTACGATGCATTATTATAGCTCGTAAGTTTGGTTTTGATAAACTAACATTCAGGTACATACGCTACTTCTTAAAATTCGTCCTGGTTTAGAAGATAAATCCAACTGTCCACTCGCCCCACGCTTTATGCTAATTTCTCTCTAAAGCGAAGAATATGTACAGTGCAGCCGTTTGAACTCCATATCCGGACATCGATAGTACATAAACTCAAAAATGAACCGAGCAAAGAAGGTCGTATGTATGTGCATAAATATTCAAGGAAAAGAGCAACATTGCGTT